AAAACGGGAACAGTCTGTACAAAGTACACTGGCCATGTGTTTGTCTGAAACACACGAGGCTGGCCCCTTACTGACCCCTCTCCCCTCCTGCTCAAAGTGAAAAGCAGCAACAACACAGGAGTGGAGTGCGTGGGTGTGCTGGGTGCCCATTCATTGGTGTTCATGCTGGAAGGAGCGCTGGAGCCGTGGGGGATGGCCGTGAGGTCCCCGGCAGGCAAGATGCACTGTCTTCTGTTCACTACTGTGCTCCGATACAGGTGGCCAGCATAGTTCTTCGTCTTTCTCCACCTCCCCCAGCACCGTGGTCATCACCAGAATGGCCATGGGGCTGGGTTCCACCTAAGATCGCCCAGTGAGATCAGTTGGAAGTTAGGAGATTGGGGTTGGAGGGAGGCGGGAGCCCGGGAAAAGGGCCTAGAGGAGGGGGAAGTGTTTGTCAATCAGGACTGAGTCCCTTGCTCTTATATGTACAGATCACCTGAGTGGTGATGGCCAACCAAAATCCTAGAAAATGATAGCAATAAGACAGCTGTCCCCAGGGCGCCTGGGTGGCTCAGTTGGTTAAGCGTCCGACTTCGGCTCAGGTCATAATCTCGCGGTTTGTGAGGTTGAGCCCCGCGTCGGGCTCTGTGCTGACAGCTTGGAGCCTGGATCCTGCTTCGGATTCTGTGTCTCGCTCTCTCTCTGCTCCTCCCCTGCTCACGCTCTGTCTCTGTCTCAAAAATAAATTAAAAAACATTTAAAAAATTAAAAAAAAAAAAAGATAGCTGTCCCCAGCCCATCCATTTGAGAAGGGGCATAGGTGGGATACGGAGGCCTGAGGACTCAAAGTCTAGGCCATCAGGAAAAACTAGGTGGATGCCTGGTGGGGTTCAGGTCTCCAGGGTGTTATCTCCGTGAACTATTACAATTCAGGGAAACTTGCTGGATATTCATCACTTTAGTGGTAAGTGAATTTGGACCCCATCTCCCTCACATGCAAGAACTCGGATCTGTGGGCTGGAAGAGTTTTCTAACCTGTTGGCAGCTACAGGGATGTGGAGCTCATTCTCCTGGCTACCAGGACAGTGGGTGGGGCTCTAGAGCCTCCCCCCTCCTCCCCTCCCTACCCAGCTACACCTCAGCCCTGTACTGCTCTCTCACTGACCCTAAGAGTCACCTTATTTACATGGGCCATCACATAAAAAAGATTGGGACAGAGTTTTCGTCTGGGATGAAAAGGTTCTGGAAATAGCCGTGATGTTTGCATAACATTGCGCATGTATTTAATGCTACTGAAGTGTGTACTTTAAAATGGTCAAAATGGTAAGTTTCATGTAGTGGTAAATTTCATGTAAGGATCGGGGTTTGGAAGGAAGGGAGGGAGACGGGCTGTGAGAGATGTAGGATCTGGGGACCCCACGGGGCTTCGAGGGGTGAGGGAGAGAGGCGTGTGGGAAGAAGGTGGGGTTGGAGCCGTCCTCTCCCTGTCCTCTCCCTCCCTCCATCCTTGCCTTCTCAGTCCGCACATCCGGACCCCACCTCTGCTCAGCTCTGTGTTCAGGCCCCCATCTTCCACGCTGTATTCTCCGGTCTTTAGAGCCACAGAGCCATTCAGCACTTGTATCCCATTTCTTTGACATTCATCTGTCACGTCCAACCTCATCGTAAGTTCCTGATGGACACGTGGCTGGTGAAACCCCGCCGCGTTCCTCTATGGCTGGTTCGTACCAGGGGGCAAAGACAGGGTACTCTATACCCACTGGCTACTGTCGATCTTGGGAACAAGATTGGGGAAAATAAATAAATTTCAATTACTTAATAAAACATTTTGTTCTCTATCTAGAAACGGTATATTTGTGCTGTTTTTCACATACTGGGAAGTGGTTCTAAGGTAAAAAGGTTGATGCTTTACTGAGAGTCATACTTGGGCTGGCTTACACCGGGGGTGGCGTGGGGGGTATATATTGGTTTTGGTGAGACTGCCACTGTTTGACCCTGAACTCCTCCCTGGGGAATAGCCATCAGGAACCCCAGTCCTTCACTGCAGACACATAGCATTTTCTAGCACCATCTGTCTTGATTACCACCGGGCCTGACCCTATGTGACTTGACTATTTGCAAACAAACTCGAAGGACAAAAATACATCTTGTCAAGAAGATTCAAGAGAACGAGAAGTCCTGTAAATGTCTGGCACATGGTAGGTCTCGCCAAATATACCGCAGGATCTAAAAGCTGTTCTTACACAAGAATTCCGGAATGTTTAGAGGAATATCAACATTGGTATAACCAACATAAATGTCTCTTTCATGTGTTTGATTTTTTTTTTAATTTTTTTTCAACGTTTATTTATTTTTGGGACAGAGAGAGACAGAGCATGAACGGGGGAGGGGCAGAGAGAGAGGGAGACACAGAATCGGAAACAGGCTCCAGGCTTTGAACCATCAGCCCAGAGCCTGACGCAGGGCTCGAACTCACGGACCGTGAGATCGTGACCTGGCTGAAGTCGGATGCTTAACCGACTGCGCCACCCAGGCGCCCCTCATGTGTTTGATTTTAAAAGTCTGTGCGATGACTTTTTTGGTGGGAATCCCAAGTTCGGTGCCTAAGAGGCCTGGTAAGCAACTCCAGAGAGCAAGGCCGATGGGCGTGCCGAGGGCCCAGGACGCTGCGCCCCCTATCCCTGTGTCTGAAGAGGCCATCTGCCGCTCAGCCTTGGCCACCGGTTTCCAGATCTTCCAACTTTTCACAAGAGAACCTGGAAGTCCAGAGTTTCATGTGAAATTTCCAAGCATTTAAAATGCTGCTCAGGCCGAACTCAGTGGCTCCTATTTATGGCCACACGGCTGTCACAGTCACCTGGAATCACCTACTCGTTCTTGCCACAGAAGTCAGACTCGCTGCATTCAGAACCCCTGTGTCCTCCGTCCTTGGCCTTTCGGTCAAAGAGGCCTTCTAGCTGACCTCGCTCGTTTACCTGCATCTTGGTCTCATTTTCTTCTACCTTCCGTGGGACCGTGCATTTGTGATTCACCGTTGGAATGGGAATTTTGTCCCAACTGCCCCCGAAGCACCTGCCAACCCGTCTCCTTGCTGCAAAATCCAGAGGACTTGGAAGTTCTCATTACCTGATCTCTTGACAACCTTCAGCTGCTGACTTCTTCCTCTATTCCTGAAACATTGCCTTTCCTCAGCTCCTCTGCGCTGTTTCGGGGCTTCCCTTTCCACTCTCTGGCACTGCACGCTCCCAATCTTTCCAGGCTTCTCTGCATGCCATCCCCTGGACGTTAGTGTCCCCAGGGTTTAGTCCCAGGCTCTGTCTTTGCCCACTCCACACCTAGTTCTTGCAGATAATCTGCTGCCCACAGCTTCAGAAACATGTCGATGGGCCTCAGGCCTCTCTCCAGCCCAGACCCCCGGTGGAGCTCTGCACCCACATGGCCTGCTTCCCACTGGGGACGCTCTGGTTCCACCAACTCAGCAGATCGAAGCCGGCTCCCCCAGTACAAAACTGTTCCTCCTCCAGTGTTGCCCACCTCAGGGGAATGCTGCTGTAGGGTAATCAGTCATCAAGCAGAAACCAGGTCAACATCACCGCCCTCCACCTCCCTCCTCTCCACACTGGTCAACACACCCTGCACCAGCTGCTTGGTAAATGTCTCTAATCTTTTACTTCTCTCCATCCCTTCTGACATAGCATGGTCCACAGTCACCAGCACCTGTCACCTGGATTGCTAATGTGCAGGTCTCGAGTCTCGTCCCCTCCAGCCAGCCCATCCTCTACAGGTAGCCATCTAAAACGCATCCATGTGGGGGTGCCTGGGTGGCTCAGTCAGTTAAGCGCCCGACCTCAGGCTGCGATCTCGCGGTTTGTGAGTTCGAGCCCCGCATTGAGCTCTGTGCTGACAGCTCGGAGACTGGAACCTGCTTCGGATTCTGTGTCTTCTCCTGTCTTTGCCCCTCCCCTGCTCATGCTCTGTCTCTCGATAATAAATAAACGTTAAGAAAAAAAAATTTTTAATGCATCCATGTAAATGTCATCCTATTCCTGCCCTGCCCAAACCCCCTCCACGGCACCCACTGCCCCTGGATAAAGTCTGAACTCCCTCATCTGTGCTAAAGGCTTTCCTAGTCTGCTCATCCTCTCTTTCTCGGGCCTCTCCTTCAATGCTCATTCTATGCTCTGGCTGTGCTGGGCTTTGGACCTCTGCATACACTGTCCTCTCCAACCTCCACCTTCATCTGGCAACTCGTGCTCATTCTTCAGGCCTCGCGTTAGAGGTGTCCTCTCTTGCAAACCTCCCTTGACCTTTGCTAGATTTTGGACCTTCCCAGGTGTCTTGGATGCCTCACCACATGCTCCCAAAGCCCTCTGGGCTCACCCTACCCTAGAATTCTTACATTTCCTGCAAGTTTGTCTGTCTTGCTTAGTATTGTTTCCCAGTGCCCAGTGTAGTGCTCGACACGTCGTAGGCACCCGATAAGTATTTGCTAGGATTGTTTTTGGTGATGGAAATCGCCTCAGCCCTCATCGACACCAACGATCTTGTAACAAGAAAGCAGAGGCCCAGAAAAATGAATGCTCTGCCCCCAATCCTACGAGAGGCACAGGAGGGGTCAGACCCAAGCCTTCACCATGCCCAGCGTGTTCCCCATCATCCTACCCTCCCCTTCCCCACCAGCCAGCCTGCCCAGTTGCACAAGCACAGCTACAGAGACGTTTGGATCAAGCGTCCGTCATGGAGACAGAATTTAGGGGAAATGGTGATGGAAAAGCAACCTTCGTCTGCTGTTGATGTCCTTCCTCACGCTGCCAGGCAGGGTGGCAGGTGGGGCTGCTGTTTCCAGATCCCCTTGGGAGAGCTCCAGGACCCAGGGTGGCCGCTGTCTCCATGGGAATGGCCAAAGGGCACCCGGCCCCTCTGTGCATCTCCTACAGGTCTAGCGTCAACACCTGCCATGAGAAATCTATGTTAATGTTTCTTCCATCAAATGTTTGAGTAAGAACCAGGGAGCAGGATAGTGGTTTAGCAGTGAGCGATATTATATTTTCATTTGGTACCGCCCATGACCAGCACCTGGCTAAATTTAGCTCACCCAGGATAGGAAGGGATGGTCCTCTGTGGGAGAACTAAGGTGGGGTGGTGGGTTCCCACCCTGTGCTCATTTAACAGCCCTGGACCCTTCTATTTTAATTTTAATGACACTTTTAGTACACAGATAACCATTCTTTCGCCCCCCCCCCCCCGTAGAGGTTCCTGACCCAGTCAGCTCTTGGTCATGCGCGCAGCGCACGTGTGTGCGTAGGGGCGTGTCCAAGAAATGTCTGCTTTCCGAAGGGGTCCGTGGCTGGGAGTCTTCCCAGGACTCAGGCCTGAACTGTTCCCGGCAAGGGTTCGTTATGAGCACCGTCTTAGTCTCAATGTCCAAACCGGTTACCCTCTCCCAACTTCTCTCCAGCAAGAGACGGAGGGAAGAGCAGCCGTCAGGGGCCCAGGCCGTCGTGCTCACTGCCCAGAAGATCTCCGGCCTGGGTCTCTCCAACCAGCGAGCCAAGGAAGGGTCCCGACGAGAACCAGGCTCAGAAGAAGAGCGGGGGCGCTGCCACCTCTGTGGGAGTGGGCCAGGCTGGGGCCGAGAGGTCGGCGTCGGAGGCCGGGTGGGCGGCTTCGCCGTGGATGCGCTGGTGCCGCACCAGGTGGGTCTTGCGGCTGAAGCTCTTGCCGCACTGCGGGCAGGAGAAGGGGCGGGAGCCCGTGTGGATGGCCTGGTGGCGCACCAGGTTGGTCTTGGAGCTGAAGCTGCGGGCGCAGACGGCGCAGGCGTGGGGCCGGCTGCCCGTGTGCACCGCCTGGTGGCGGCCCAGGTGCGACTTGCGGCTGAAGCGGCGGCCGCACTGCGCGCAGGCGAAAGGCCTGGCGCCGCTGTGGGCGCGGGAGTGGGCGACCATATTGGGCCTCGAGCCGAAGCGGCGGCCGCACTGCGGGCAGGCGAAGGGCCGCTCGCCCGTGTGCACCCGCTGGTGCCGCGCCAGGTGCTGCCCGTGGGCGAAGCCGCGCCCGCAGTCCTGGCAGAAGAAGGACCGCTCGCCCGCGGGGGCGCCCTGGGTCGCCGGTGTGCCTCCGGGCGCGCAGGCCGAGGGCTCGGCGGCGGCGGGGTCCACGGTCGTACCCAGGGCGCACTCGTCGCAGCCAAAGGGGCGCCCCTCGCTGCGGTGCAGACGCTGGTGCGTGGCGAGGTTCTTCTTCCAGCCGAAGCTCAGGCCGCAGTCGGAGCAGGAGAAAGGCTTGGGTCCGGGAGGGGACGGGGTGGGGGACGGGGCGGGGGAACCCGGCGAGGCGGGCGCGTCGGGCGAGGGCGGGGCGCGGCCGGCCGCCTCGTGCACCCTCTGATGCCGCACCAAGTGCTGCTTGTGCGTGAAGCTGCGCGAGCACTGCGCGCACTGATAGGGCCTCTCGCCGGTGTGGATGCGCTGGTGGCGGATCAGGTGCGTCTTTTTGCGGAAGCGCTTCTCGCACTCGGTGCAGGGGTAGGGCCGCTCGCCCGTGTGCGTCTTCTGGTGCGAGCCCAGGTGTATCTTCTGGCTGAAGCGCTTGCCGCACTCGGCGCACGGGTAGGGCCGCTCGCCGGTGTGCGTGCGCAGGTGGCGGGTCAGGTGGGCCTTCTTGCTGAAGCGCTTGTCGCACTCGGAGCAGGGGAAAGGCCGCTCGCCGCGGTGGCTGCGCTGGTGCAGCAGCATGTGCGCGCGCTGCGTGAAGCTGCGGCCGCAGTCCGGGCAGGCGCAGGGGCCCTCGCCGCGGTGCAGCCTCTGATGCAGCCGCAGGGTCAGCTGGTCCCGGAACCGCCGCTCGCACTCCCCGCAGCCGTAGGGCTTCTCCGAGGTCGGGGCCCACCCGACCAGCGCCAGTCCACCCAGTGTCCCCGGGGCCCCCGGCTCCAGCTTGTACGCGGCGGCCAGAGGCCCCAAGTCCGGCGCGGGGAAAGGGCCGGGGAGTAATGAGAGGTGTTGGGGCCATTCGACCTCCTCTTCTGCCTCCTGATCCTCCTCCTCCACCTTCACCTTGCGAATCATCCACTCGTCCCCTGAAAAGTCAAGACAAGAGGAGCCAACGAAGCCCCACTTTTATTTATGCAATTTTTTTTTTTTTTTTTTTTTTTCCAATAAGACCACCACTTCTGGAGCCCCAGAAGCCCCAGAAGCTCCAGCACTTCTGGTGCCAGAAACCTGGCTTCTGTTCTCTCCACTCTACTTCTAGGGAACGACCACATCCAAAGGTCACCCTTCAGTCCTCGTCCTTGGTTCTCTGCAGCCAGGGACGCTGGTACTCCAGTCCCCCACCCCGTCCTGGGAGCTTTCTCCTAGGTCTCCATGTGGTTGAGGAGTTTCCCCTGTCCCTGCAGAAGGCACTGCTTACTCTTGTGCCCCCTGAATATAAATGTTGCTCAAAGTTCAGGCCTTAGGCTTCACACTGGGGTCATCTGCTTGCGTTGGCTACCCCAGACCTTCCACTCCTTTCTAGAACCACAGTCTCCCATCAGCTGAGCAGCCCCAGCCCCCTTTGGGGTCCTGCAAATTGGCTGCAGCTCAGCAGGCTTATCACCAAACAGCTGACCTTCTCAGACCTACCCCGGTGACTTTGCCATCGGGACTACAGCCTTGTTCTCCCAGTCACTGGTGTTGGAACCTTGGAAGCTCAGCTCTCACCTTGGAGCCTCCCTTGATCTCTCCCTTTCAGTGGCCACTGAGGAGCTCTGTCTGCCTTCCTCTTGCTTCTCAAGGCTCCCCCTGCCTCTAACTCCATTCTTGCCTCTGGGGCCAGGTGGGAAAGCCCCCGTTTAGGATGAAGGGGATGGAGTTTACAGGAGTTGGGGAACCAGAGAAGAGTGCCAACCTCTGGAGAAGCAAGGGGGGGGGCCCTCTGGGGTAGCAGGTTTGAGGTGCGTCCCACTGGAACTTTGCCTCTCTTGGGCACTGCAATGGTCCAGCCAAGAGAAAAGAGCTCAGGGCCCAGATTGGGAGTGTCTACTTGGGTTCTCTTCTGCCACTAGTCATTAGTGTGACCTTGGTTAACTTACCTCTGTTACCTCTTTGAGCTCGGTGTACTAGTTTGCTTAAGCATAAGGGTTGTACTGGTTCGTGGTTTCTAATAATCTCCTGGGGACTTTTACAAAATGCATCCATGGGAGCAGGGTGCATGAATCTGTTCTCTTTCTTTAAAGCTCGCAACGTGGGGGGCCCTGGGTGGCTCAGTCGGTTAAGTGTCTGACTTCGGCTCAGGACATGATCTCACAGTACGTGGGATGGAGCCCTGTGTGGGGCTCTGTGCTGACAGCTCAGAGCCTGGAGCCTGCTTTGGATTCTGTCTCCTTCTGTCTCTGCCCCTCCCCCGCTCACGCCCTCTCTCAAAAATAAATAAATAAACATTAAAAAAAATACTAATAAATAAAGCTCCCTAAGTGATTCTTGTTTAAGAACCATTGAACCAGATGATCTGAGTTCCTGTCTGGCTCTGAAGGTCTGTAATAGCCTGAGCACTGGTTACATTACACATGAACTGCCAATTAGATTTCCTCCCAGTGTCTTTCACGGATCCATCCGTTCCAGACAACTATTTATCCTATTGTGATATTGCTTTCGTTTTCATTATGCCACTCTTCTACTCAAGAACCATCAAGAGCTCTCTGTTGTTTACAGGATGAAGTAAGTTCTAGCTGCATCTGAGCTTCACCTCCCACCCCCCGCCCCCAGTCCAACTTTCTCACCACCCCCACACGTAAACCCTCCCCGGCAGCCAGGCAGGTCTGCTCGAATCCCAGCCACGCGTCACCTTTTCTGTGTTAAAGTCTCTTCTCAGCCTAGAATGTCTTCCCATCCTCTACCCCACCCCCATCAGAGCTGAAGTCTAGCCTACACCTCCCTCAAAATGTAGCACAAATCAACAAAATCTTTGACAAACCAACGCACGAGGATCTCTTACGTAAACACCTATAGCACTTATTGTTATAAGTTCCTTGTGCTGTTACACTTCCTTGTGATCTGGCCTTATTGTTATTTGTTTAATCCTTTATTCTAGTTCATATTAGTGTCATCTCAACTAGATTGTAGCTTCCGAAAGGCAGACGTCTTGTGTTCCGTGTCTTTACGTGGCTAACAAAAGCGAGGATTGCCACCATTTATCGAATGCCAACTATAGATGACACACTGTCTATATGCTGTTCACCAGCCACGAGGTTACTCTTTTACCTGCTTACAGGTGAACAAACAGGCTGGAGGTGAAGTAGCCTATCTAAGATCACCGGGTAGTAAATGTGGAGCAAGGATTCAAACCAGGTCTGTGTCAGCCTACAGGCAGTCTCCTTGCCTTCTGCCTAACACAGCCTAGACCTAGTAGGCACTAGAGAAACCCCTGGAATACGGAATAAAGGACATCACTCAGGCGGAAGGCGATAAGTTTGGTGGTGGCGGAAGGGCGTGGTGGCAGTATTGTGGAGAGAGAATCAGCTGTTTGATCGCCCTGGGTATGGGGGGATGACTCCGGGACAACATATTTGGAGCATTTGGGTCCACTGAGATCCGTGGAGATTTGGGGGAAGGAGCCTGTCCGGGACAATGTCTTCAAGTGAACGGTAATTTAAGTCATCCACAAGTAGGCACTTAGGGGGAGGTAAGAGGGCAAGTTAAGACTTCCGGAGGATGTTGAGGCGAGGGTCAGTTTCTCTGGGTGACCAGCCTCGCTGATTCCTGTTGTCTGTGACGTGGACCTCTCTCTGGGGGCTGAGGCTCTGCAGCAGAAAGGTGCCAGGAACTAATTCGTCTTAGGTTGGAAGGGGCTGGAGTGGCCGCCTCATCAGAGACCAGCCCGGGAGTTTACAAGTCCCCTGTCCCCTCTGCCTGGGCCCCTGGCGGGCTCGAGAAGTGGGAGGACTCACCTGGGCAGGAGCTCGGGGGCTCAGCCTTCTGTGGTGCACATGCCTGGCCTCCTCTGCAGGGAGCTTCAGCTTCTTCAGTTTGGGCACCTTCCTCTGGTCTGGGGGCCTCGTGCCCTGGCAGAGAACAGGCCACCTCAAGGACTCCAGAGACATCACAGATGGACAGAGGTCCCCACCGGTGCTATCACGGGGGGGCTTTTGAAACCCCAGTCCCAGCCTGACTGGCAGGATTGTGTCCCACATCCTACCTGCAGGGACTGAATTCTCCCCTGGGCCGGGGGAGGGGGGGGGGGGGGGAGCCTCTGCAGCCTCTGGTTCCTCCAAGCAGGGCAGCTGCAGAGGCTGTGCGGGTTGCAAGAGCCACAGCTGTGAGGAGCTTCTGGAATATGTGTGTGAGATAGTGGAAGCAAGGAAAGGTCACTACCCTGAGGCTTACGGGAGACTCTCAGGAGGAGGGCCGCAGACCCACCAGACGGACCCGAGTTCCAGGCAAATCATTGCAGAAGATCAGAATGTCAAAAAGCCAGACACAGGCCTGCTTGAGGCAGCCACCTCCCTCACCTCTTCCAAATCTTGCTCAAATCTCACTTCCCAGTGGGGCCTCCTCTCACTCTCACTATTTAATCCTGCAGCCTGCCCCACCCCCACCTCAGGCTCCCTCCCCCCCCCAGCACTTATCCCCTTCTGATATGTGCTATATGTGTGCTGTACTTTATAAGTACACTTATTTTTATATTTGCTGACTCTCTGGCCTCATTAGGATAAGCTCCCTGAAGGTAGGGATCTTTGTCTATTTGGTCGCTGAGGTTTTCCAAATAACGAGAATAGCACCCTGGCACTTGAAGAAGGAAAGGTAGATTCTACCTGAGCCACTGTTCATGGTCCCCCACCTACTTACCTGAGCATGTGCCCAGCACGCTGTCTTCCCTGGGAGGGGACATCTGCTCCTGGGTATTATGGGACCCTTCCCCAGGCTCACTTTGGGGGGCCATCTCAGGCTGTCCCACAGAGAACCCTGTTACAGGTGGAAGGATAGGACTAGGTAAAACATTCAGTACAGAACAGGAGACAAAGAAAGGGGCTCTCCCCCTTCCCCAAAAAGCCAAGGGGCTTTTTCCAACTTGCCCAGGAAGGTAGGGTCTCTAGCCAGCAAGACAGGGGATAGACAGGCTCCCCAGCAGCCTGGCCAGGTATCCACCTCAGCCCCTTTGCATGGAGTCAAGGGCAGGTGAAGGAAGAGATAATAGGTCTAAATATCTGTGCTCTGTTGAGCGCACATGTATGCACGCAGTCCCACACAACCTCCACAGGGCCAGGCATTCAAATATACCCTGGTAAAACGGAAAAGGATGCTGCCCTAAAGGCCCCACTGGTCCCTGGGGTCTCAGGATTGCAGTCTGAACTGTAGGGACACAGCGGGCCTAGCATGCCCCCGAATCCTGCCTCCCACCACCCAAGTTCCTCGAGTGCTGCTAGCTCACCCAGGGAGCTGAGGGCCTCAAAGGTCTCTCTCATGGCAACCCAGGGTAGCTCCTCCTGGGGGAGCAGGCCACGGACCCTAAGGAGAGAACACATCCTTGTTCACATTCTTCTCTGGATAGCCTCCACCTGGGCCCTGGCTCTGCCCAACCTCTCCCCATCAGCTATCCCCAGGAGCTCCAAAGGTGATGTTCCCAAGTACTGGTAAAGGGGAAAGAGGGAAGATGGGTTTCAGAAAGCAAAGAGATCTTTGAATGCCGAGGAGAAGGCCTTGAAGCCATTTCTGCAAGCTCTGGTGGGCTCTAGAAATCAGCGGCACCCCCACCCTCACCTGGCGGGTCTCTGAACCAGGCCCAGCCCTCCAGTGCTCCCCACCCCACAGTGCCCTTGCCTGGGGACTTCAGGAATCAATCGATTCTCTGCGCAGAGGGTGGGGAGTGAAGACCAGGGTGGGGAGTCGGGAACTTCATCTCCTGGGCCCTCCAGCTGTCACTGCGGGGAGCTGGTGAAATAGGAGCCAGCCGCGGGGTTGGGGGTGGGAGGCGGAGGTGAGTGTCACCATTGGGCAACTGGTGGGGGAGGCCCTCTGAGGAGGGTCTTTGCTGAAGGCAGGAAATGGCTCCGGCTTCCTCTCCCCAAAACCCTACCTCAAAACCACCGCCCTCCCCCTCAGGGCTTCCCTGGCAGGGACACCCCGCCCCCGAGCCCCTTCAATGCTCCTCCCCCGGCGGGTTCCCTGCCCCTCCCCCAGCAGACTACCCCCCCCCCACCCCCCCATTTCTGGCAGCCTTCCCTCTGCCCCTCCCTTCTCCGGCTCCCTCTGCCTTCCGCCCTCTCTCCCCACCGAAGCTGGCTGGCTCCCCGGATCCGCCCCCTGCCCCGCCCCTCCGGCTCCTCCCCCTGCTCACAGCCGGGCCAGCCCCTCCCGGCCCCCTCGGGTAGGCCCTCCCCAGCCACCGCCCCCCTGACCCTCAGCTCCGGGCCTTCTCCGCGACAGGGCTCCCCTCCTCCTCCCCCGGCTCAGGGCTGCCTTTCCCTTCCCTCCTGGTTCTCCCCGAGGCTCCATCCCCCTCCCCGGCTGCACACCCTCTCCCTTCCTTTCCCCCTCCTCTTTTCCTTCCTCCCCAACGCCGCCCTCCTCCTCCCCGCTTTTCTCCCTCACCCCGCACTCCCCTCCCCTCTCCCTCTCCTCCCCCACTCTGGTTTCCCTTCCTTCTCCTTTCCTCTCTTCACCTCAGTTCCCTCCCTCCTCTCCCCCCCTCCCCAGCCCTCCTCCCCTCTCCCCACACCATCCTCCTCCCTCCCTCCATCCCTCCCTCCTGCAGCTCGCCTTCCCCTCCGAGGCCCCCGTCTCCCTTCCCCCTTTGCCTCCCCAGCAGGCTCTCGCTTCCCTACCCTCCCGGTCCCCAGTCCCTAGAACCGCTCTTCCCCTCCCCCTTCCAGTCCGCTCCCCGAGCTCCCACCCTTGTCCCCAGGCTCCCCCGAGCCCGGGGCGTCTGCGGCTTACCGCTGGCTCAGGACCCTCGCACTGACCCTCCTCCTCCCCACCCCTGCCTCCCCACACACCTCCGCTTCCCTCCCCTCTCTCTCAGTGGGTCCCTTCCCCATTTCTGCTCCCCTCTGACTTCTACCCCCCCCTCAAGTTTTCCTCTCGACTAGACCCCTCCCGCCCCACCTCCCCGCCTCCGTTTGTTCCCTAGAGCCTCTTCAGTCCACCTCCCGGCCCCTCCCCGGGCTCACCTGTCAGCGCCCTTCTCTCCCGCCCCTCCCCAACGGCCTGACCCCTGTGCCTCGTCGCCCCCCTTCCCCCCCCCCGGCCCGCTCCCACACTCCCTCTCCTCTTTCCGGAGACTTCCCCTCGCGAGCCTCCCCCCTCCCCCCCCCCTTTCCCACCGGACTCCCACCGGGCGCCCTCACCCCAGCCTCCGCCCCTCCCTCCAGATCCCCGGTCTTCCTTCTTTTCTCCACTACCGTCACCACCCCCCAAGCCAGGCCCTCGCTCCCCAGTCCCATCCCCTCCCTTCTCCAGCCCCTGCCCCTCCCCTGCCCCTTCTTTTCCCCCCAACTCCACCCCACCCCCTCCGGCGCTCGCAGCGCCCCCACCCCCGGGGCTGTCACCTGCGCGGAGCGGGCAGTGACTGAGTGTCGGGGTAGAAGGGGCAGCAGCCGGCCGCGTCTTTTCCTCTCCCCTCCCCGCGAAGTTTCAGGGCTGTCAGTCTGTCAGTCTTTCGGGCGGTCGGCACCCGAGCTACAGGCAGCGGGCGCCATTGCGAGCAGAGCCGGCTGGGGCAGGAGGCCGGGGCGCCTGGGTCCCGCCAGCAGCGGGGGCGCCTCCACGGCCCGTACCTGGCGGGCTGGCTGGTCGGGTGTCCCCGCTGCTGGCGGGACCCAGGCGCCCCGGCCTCCTGCCCCAGCCGGCTCTGCTCGCAATGGCGCCCGCTGCCTGTAGCTCGGGTGCCGACCGCCCGAAAGACTGACAGACTGACAGCCCTGAAACTTCGCGGGGAGGGGAGAGGAAAAGACGCGGAGGGAGCGGGAGCGGGGAAGCGGCGCCCGGCAGGGGGGAGGGGAGCGCGGAAGCGGGAGGGGAGCTGCGGGGCGCCCCGTGGGGGAGGTAGGGGCAGGGGTGTGCTGGAGTGGGGTCGCGGGAGGGCGCACAGCCGGGTTAGGCGGGCAGGTGACGGTGCGGAAGGACGACGGCCCCGAGGAGGTGATGGAAAGTGGAAGCCTAGGAAGGGGGGGGGGGAGAGAAGAGGGGGAAGGGAAGGGAGGAGTGTGGGGGGAGGGGGTGGAGGAGGGAGAGGAGGCAGGGAGGAAGGGCAAGCGGGCTGCGAGGGAGGGTGCTCACAGGCGCCGAGGGAGGAGCCAGGGGAAAGGTGGAGCGCGGGGGGAGGGGGTGCGGTGAGGAGTTGGGGAGGGGGAGAGGAGGGGGCGTGCTCGGGGGAGGGGGGCGGGGGGGGGGGTTGGTTTTTTTAAATGGGGGGCCCCCCCCCCCCCCCCGGGAGCGTGTCAGCGCGGCGCCTCGCTGTGGGATTGAGTCCACGGACTGTCGGTCTGTGGGGTTGGTCTGGGAAACTCCGACCCGCCCCTGCTCTTGACCCAGATTCCACCTGGGTCCACACAGAGCCACAACCACGGACCCCGATTTCGGGGGACCCGGTCCGACACCCGCGTCGCGATCCGGGTCCCTTGGGGCAGCGAGGGGTGGCCGAAGGAGACTGAGCTGGGCCCCAGTGCCTGCGGAGAACGGGCCTTTTGAAGTAGAAATTGGGGTGGGGGCTTTGAGCCAGGTCCCCAGGGAGAAGGCGGCGCTGGATCGCAGGCACCAGGGGGTGAGGCGGGAGTGGGGCTGGGCGGGGACTTCGAGGGCGGGGTCCGGGGGGAGGGGGCTGCCGAGTGGGGAAGAGTTCTTTGGGCGGGGTGGGGGCTGGCCCTCCTCCTGGCCTGGAAACCTGTACCAGTTAGGTGTGGAGGGATGCCCTCAGCCCTCAGATCCGCTCCTGGAGGGACTTGGGGGTCCCTGCCCCGGGTTATGATGTTTTTCTTTGGCCTTGCCACCCGGGCACCTGACTCTTCCTGAAAGCTCCTCACATCCTGTGCTCCAGGAGCTGAAACGTGGGCTGGTTATTCCAGGCGCCCTCTCCCTAATCTCTTTCTCCAATCTCCCCTGGCTTCCAACTTTCTCCCTCCTGCCCCCTTTAGGGGAAAGGGGGATTGTGACTTGGGTTTCTTTTTCCAATCCAAGCGCAGCCTCATCAGCTGTGGTTAGAATCCAAAGCTGGGAATGTAGTCCTTGGAAGAGAAGCACGGCACACAGCAGGGACACCGTCAATATTGGTTGATGTTTAGGAGAGTCGTGGGAGCAGGTGGCACCTAGAAGAGCAGGGGGCATCTTGGAATCAGCTGGGAAACACTCTCTGACCTCCTGGATGGGCTGCTTCAGGAGTCAGTGCCTAGCCCGCTCACGGCCCTGGGAGTAGAATGTGTCACTGTGTGCTAGGGTGGGGCATGAGCACCTGTCTGCCCTTGTGAGACCTGCATCAGGGGTATAAGCATGGGAAGCAGCAGGGGGAGAGTGTATAGGGTACATGCGTGAGAGACTGGGAACAGAAACATGTCCATGGCTGGGCCCTGGTCTTTTCTGAGCACCCCACTGAGAGATCCCTGAGGAACTCTGAACCCTCTTTGGGCTACAGGACCAATGGTAGGCCCAGGAGAAATGCCTAGCATGGCTCTGGTTCCCAGCAGCCTCCTTGCCCCAGGTGGGGTAACTGTGTGAGATGCTCAGTGGGACAGCAGGGGGGGGGGGGGGAAATCTAAGGCCCAGGGGATGGAATCTAAGGCCCAGGCCACATTCCAGCCTGGGTGTCCTAGGAGCTGGTAACCAAGAAGTAACCAGGATTCACCCAGGCCACCTGCTGCCCCAACCGGATGCTCAGATTATCCCCATCCGGCTGCCTTGCCCCCAGGGCTGGGGGGGCTGGCTTCCAGCCCCTTCTGTCTCCTACCCTCCCTCCCTACTTCCTACCCAAGCCGCTCCTCCACTCCTCCCTGAGGCTTGCTGTGCTCCCCTGCCCAGGCTTCCTGATTCTGGACCCTAGGAGACTCTCTTAGGAGACCAGGGTGAAAGGTGAACCCAGCCAGCCACACATAATCACCCCCAGTAAGAAGTCAGATCACTGAGAAAAGGGCACATATTCTCCCTCTATCTCTGCACAGTCCAACCAGCCTGGAAACTCAGCTCCTTCTGTTCACTGGTCCAGGCTTCACGGGTGCTTAGTGGGAGAAAGGGCAGGAAGAGGCAGGAAAGGGGGCAGGGAGAGACTCATAAAATCAGAATTTTAGGGCTGGAAGACCATATCAGTCATTTGGCACAATAACTCTTAACCATTTTGTGGGGTCATAGTTCCTCTTGAGAATTTAATTTACAGTTAAGGAACTATCCTCAGAAATGTGCACGTACACGATATCAAAGTAGAGCCCCTGAGTCCCACCCAAGCATCCCTGGGAAGCCCCTGAATTTTTTATTAGCAAAGAAATTATGGCTCAGAAAGAGAGGGTGGCTTGTCCAGAGTCCACGTTAATTTGTGGTATAGCCTGAGGGTGGAAAAATATCAGAGGCTCCGAGTGTCTGGCTGTGTGGCCTGGGGCACATGCACTCCCCCACTGAGCTCACACACACACACACACACACACACACACACACACACACAAGGGCCGGAAGGGGACTGTTTCCAGGGAGAACTGGCCTCTGAGGGGATTGTGCAATGTGCAGGCAGGTCCAATCTGGTTCCGAGCAGCTGGTGCCCCAGGGCATGGGGCTGAGATAAAGCTTCCCCAGTCCCATGGGCCTCGCTGTCACTGTCTGGGCTGCCTTGGACACATTGACACCCGGCTGAAGTAGACCGTGGTGTGGGGCGGGGAAGGCCAGCACTGGCCTTTCTGCTCACTGGCCACAGCCATCACCTTCCCCAAGCCCAAGCCTCTTAGTCCCCCAGAGGTGACGTGGGGGGAGCATTATGCTGCTCCCTGCCCTCCTCTTTGGGATGGCATGGGCATTGGCTAACGGGTGAGCAGTCCAGCCTGGGGCCCCTCTGACTAAGATCCTTTTCACCTGCCTCATGAACAGGACCCTCTGGGGCAGCCCGACTCCCCTCCCCTCCGCTTCTTACTCCCACCCAGCCTCCTCTTCAGTTCACTGACTCTTCTGCGGGCAGGGCTTCTTGGCAACAGAAGGGCTGGGGGCAGTGGCTGTCATTCCCCATCTGTGGGCAGGCGGTGGTGCGAGCGGACGGAAACCTTCCTGGTGGAGGAGGAAGTGACCCCCCGCCAGGAGGGCCTGGTGCCTTGCACCAGCCTCTACCATTACCAGCGCCTGGGCTGGCGACTCGACCTGTCCCGGAGCGGACCTGCGGGGCTCTGTCCCATCTACAAGTGAGTGAGGGTTGGAGTCTGGGCTGGCCGCTGAGCGGCAGGGAGCAACGGAGCCAACATCCTGGGGGTGGGGGGAGAAGGTGAACTGGGTGGTGCCCTGGAGGAGCGGGCATTTGGGAAGTGGGTCTGGCTGGGCTCAGGAAGAGTGGAGGGTGTGGGGCTGGGGACAGGCAAGGAGGGGAAAGCCACTCAGAGAATAGGTGACCAGATGAAATGTCCCAGGCCATTCTCAGGGACCGGGAAGGGGCTGGGCTGAATAATTAACATCTTCTCTCTGCTGCCTGCTTGGTGGACCCAGGCCCCCAGAAACCCGGCCTGCGGCAAGGAACCGGACAGTGACGGCTTGCTGCCCAGGCTGGGGGGGCACACACTGCACTCTGGGTAAGCACCTGCTATTTGCCCGGATCTGTGGTTTCATGGAGGCTGCCTGGGGAGGGAAGCTGGGCCCAGGCTGACTGTCTGGGCCGCCCTATTCTCTCCCTCTATCCACTGCAGCCCTTGCAGAAGCCAGCCCTGGGGGCCACTGCTTTGCCACACAGCAGTGCCAGCTGCAGCCAGGCTCAGCTAATGCATCTGCGGGAAGCCTGGAGGAGTGCTGTGCTTGGCCTTGGGGACACAGCTGGCGGGATGGCAGCTCCCAGGCCTGCCTCAGCTGCCCTGGCCGACACCTCCCAGGTGGGTCTGCGGTCCTGGCAACCACTTTCTCCCCCTGCAAGGGCTACCACATAGATTTCTGGAGCTCTGGGCCTTCCTGCAGGGCCCCTGCCCACTCCCCTGTGCTCTCAGATGAGTCACCTCCCATCCTGGCCCACCAGAGGGACCATGAACTCTCCACCTGCCTCCCACTCTGGGAGAAGCCCCCTGTCCTCCTCCTCCTTCACCCTCCTACCTGCACACTCAGAGACTCACAGTCGGTGTATCTCCTCCAGGCAGTGCTCCCTCTCCAGCCTCCCTGCAGCCCCTGGTGGGGGCCGTGGCCCAGTTCTGGAGCCAGCGCCAGCAGCCGGCGGCCACCTGCACCACCTGGTCAGGCTTCCACTACCGAACCTTTGACGGGCGTCACTACCACTTCCTGGGCCGCTGCACTTACCTGCTGGCGGGCGCTGCTGATTCCACCTGGGCTGTCCACCTCACGCCCAGGGGGCATTGCCCCCAACCTGGGCACTGTCAGCTGGTGAGGGAGGGAGGGAGGGAGGGAAGACCACAGGGAGGGAGCTGGACACGGGGGAAGGCGAGCCACTGAACACCTCTTCCGCTCTGTGTCTCCCCAAAGGCCCGGGTAATGATGGGACCCGAGGAGGTGCTGATCCAGGGTAAAAATGTCTCTGTGAATGGGCAGCTGATACCTGATGGGGAGTCTCGGCTGCTCCAGGGTAAGGGAGCTGTGGGGAGCAGGAGACTGCCCAGGGCCCCATTTGTTCCCCTGGGCCAGTCTGCCTATCCCCCAGAGCAGGGGACAGCAAAAGGGGCAGTTGGGTGGGAGCCTGCTGCTCCACCCCCATTACTGTTGGGCAGTATTTGGAAATGAGGGAGCCTGCTGAGGGGCCAAGACCTCGTCTCCCACAAGCCTCTCCTGCAAGCCACCCCCACTCATCCCCTCACAGTGTGGCTTGGGGCAAGTACCTCTGCTTAACCTTTTTGGGTCTTGGGGGTACCTGGCTGCCATGGGACTCTTGATCTCAGGGTTGTGAGTTCGAGCCCCATGTTGGATGTAAAGATTACTTAAAAATAAAATCTTGGGGTGCCTGGGTGGCTCAGTTGGTTAAGTGTCCAACTCTTGATCTTGGCCCAGGTCTTGATCTCACGGTTCCGACAGATGGAGCCCTGCATAGGGCTCTGCACTGATAGCCCTCCGCCCCTTCCCCCTGCTCATGCACTCTCTCTCTCTCTCTCTCTCTCTCTCTCTCT